ACAATAATGCTGACATTACTGCTTGACGGCCGAAATAAGTAAGGTGGCAATACTACCCTGGACGAACTCTTTCACAAGGAGCTCTACTGCTACTATTTACTATTACTATAGGAAGAAAATTACACTTGAAATCCTCGTATTGATTAAACTCTACTTATTCATTAAGGCAGATTCCCCTGAGAAGAGCAAAACGGGTCACTGCCATGGATTTTTGTCGTTCAAGTACGCAGAAGCCGAATATGTATACCTTTAGTGTAAAGTTAGCGTTTTAAACCTCGTAAGTCGCAAATTTTGAATAACAACCGGAATCCTATTACAGAAGCGCATACATTGCCCCTTAAACGAATTTGTGACTACGCAAACCACTGTCAAGAATAGCCAATTTTTTTTAACCCCGTATTGATGTTATGTTTATGGCTGCTGGCCAATGGAACAATCTTGTTGTAGAATGGCGACCATGTCAATGAAAACATAATGTAGAACGCCCTGTGGCAAGATGGACGGACGACTTGAGAACGATAGCCGGCGGGACTGGATGCGGGCGGCACTAGACTGCGAGAATTGGCGTGCCCAAGTTGAGGCTTATATCCAGCAGTGGATACGTGTAACCTGATGATGATTATCACTATTTTCCATAAAAACATTACTGTTCTACATAATATCAGTGACAACAGCCTGTGACAACACTGTGGCTGACCCAGGGTCATGATCTTAACTTAGAAGGTCCCTGTTCTTGTACAGGTTATAGTGCTCTTCCTGCTTAACCAAGAAATTGATAGGGAGGGTCATTAGAATCAAAAAACATGTCGAAGATACGGGAACTGTTCTAAACATAAATGTATTGTGACGCAAGAATCTGAGAATCGTAAACATCTAAGGGGCACAACCATTGCGCCCGTCACCCTGAGACATAAGCTGACAAATCCCATTTAACACCAGAACGCAATAATGCGCACATTACTGTTTGGCGGCAGAAATAGGTAAGGTGGCAGTACCGTCCGCTAACTAAGTGACAAAAAATTTTTTGAAATATCTTAAAAAAACATAACCCAGTTTTGCAACGTCAGGGTAAGTTCCGATAAGTCAAACACGTTAACTAATTTTTAAAAAGAATTTTGTGCTCTAATTTTTGCTCTTTAAAACGGATATTTGTCATTTAGCCGCATTTTAGTTAGTGGACGGCAAAGTACTTCCCTGGACGAACTCTTTCACATGGCGCTCTACTGCTACGAAAAATGTATATATACAGCTCTCAGTGGCACTGGAATTGCCATGGCCAAGCGCAATTGTTCGTCCCGTCATTTGGTAACACAATAAGAGTTCGTTAGAAATTGTCCTGTAGGCAAGTCAAGAATTTAATTAAGGCATAGCTTTATTTGAAAAAGCTTGTTAGTCAAGGTTACACATTTTCGTCTATAAAATTGTAAATACAATTTTTTTTGTTATTTTTTTATTTTGACAAGTTATTATTTCGATACTCGCCATATTAAACAATCTTGTAATTGACATGTCAAAAGCCATTTACTTATTAGTAGCAAAATTTTGGCAGTCCTAAATACTTGTATACAGCTTAAAAGCAACAGATAAAAGATCCTTACCTATACTTATCCGAAACTACACTACAAATATAGTATTTTTCAAACAAAAAGCATCCATGTTGTATAAGTGCTTGAGTACACAATATGTTAAAACGCAAACAAAGATACAATAACCACAAATTAGGAACAACATTCAGAAAATACATCTCAACCAGAACTAGAACTAGAACACCAAAATTTAGAAAACGTAGCGCTTACGTTACCAACTATATAATTACAAATAATAATATTTTTTCGAGCTCAGCCCGCGGCGTTGGCTGTCGAATCAAATTTTACTATGTAAACGTTACCCAGTTTCATTTAACTTTATAAGACATTTCTCTCCGAGTTTATATTAAATGTTTCTCCCCAAGTTTATTGTTTCACAAATTGACTTATACATTTTATTCATTTGTTTTAATTAAATGAACAATAAATGCACGTTTAGCTACAATCACACTTAATGTTAAGCGACGTTGGTACGCCTGTTCTCTTTAGCATCGCTCTTAATTCTAATTTTTACGTGTAATGTAAAAGTAGTAAGTTGTAATGTTCACATGTTGTCAAGATTTCACCACTGTTAAATTTATTTTTTCCGACATTTACTTTTGGAACATCGTAGCAACATCTCTTTAAGATCATTTAAACTAATTTGCTTATCTATTTTATCGACTTAGTTACTATAATACTAAACTCTTTAGACTATTAGTTAAGGCTACAAGTCCCTCGTTTCCAGGAGTTCCTATTTTCCCACCTGACCATACAGTAGTAAATCCCATGCCATTGCAGTTGAATTACTTCACAAAATTTACTTGTGCCATTTTCAAAATTTCTTAGCCCCTTTTGCCTTTTGAAGCGTTGATGTACTTGTTGTTCGATTGCCGCCATTGTAAAAAGATCACGAAGTGTAATCTCATTAAAAAATAACATTCGGAAGCGACAGTTTGCTCGCACATCAAATACGCCGACTGTATTCAAATATTTACATTGCACGTTGAAGTGCAATGCAAACGTGGTGAACGTAATTTCAATCCATTTGTCGTTTTGATTACGGCTCATTCATTCAAGTGTGATTAGGCAAATATTCGAGAATGTAATATAAATATTTACGCTCTATCGCTTTTATTATAAGGTTCATTTAATTTTCACGAGACTTAATTTCACGAATCAGTTCGCCTCGTTGAAGCCTTCGCTGACCAGGTTGGCTGCTACTTCCGTCAAAGAATATACACAATCAAAGGGTAAACGGTACCAGGTCATGGGTACAATGCCCGGGGCGCGGTTCTCTATGAATTTTTTACCATAACTCAAATTTGTTTTTTCTTAAAATCAGAACAATCTTTATTTCATAATTAAAAATATTACACTTGAAATCGTCACATTGGTAAAATCATAACAGATCTTTGAATTAAATGCCATGCGACATTTTCTTCCAAGATAAACATCTGCACCTGTATAGTGTGTTATGTAAACTCAAAACGAGTCTGGTAACGTGATAGCGACGTGTTGATACTTATTGGAGCAGAAATAATCACCGCAACCTGTTTTGTACCCTACGGCTTTTTCAACACTGTTCCATATAGAAACCTTTTGAGTTTCTGATATCCAGGGTAATTAACTATCTACACTTTTTGTGATGGCTTTTACAACATATTATTACAGGGCCATTTAGGAATTCTCAGTTCACGTTCTCAGCATATTCAAGCAAAGAAATGTAACGATTATGACTGGTTACAGATATCTTACCACGGTGTGGTCTTTTATTATGAACCCGTTATTTCAGAGCGGTTTTCAAAGAGAGAAAAGAATATACAGTCGTTCTACTGTTATGATAATTTTTATACAAGGCCGCATCTGACGGCCAATTAGACGCCTCAAAAAAACAAAAAAATGTTTACTACAAACCGAAACCAACAAAATATCCATTCATAAAACATATAAAAAATCAAATTTTTTTTTTCAAAGATATTTGTACAACGATTACATCTTTTGTCACAAACAATTGTGTTATTTCATGTGCTACTGTTGTTTGAATTTTCTGGAACAATTTTCATATTCATACTAAATTGCAAAGTGCAACGTGAAGAAACAAAGTTATAAATCACACTATGCATTTGCATGAAACCATGTGCAGTTTTCAACGAATGTATTGTTTTGAATAATTAATAGTGTAATAAATTGTTGTGCTAAATAATATTACAATATACACGTCTCAGTTGAATATCTCTATATATTGCACGCTCGATAAAAAAGTGACTAAGTTCGAAAAATAATTTATCGACTGTGAACTGGCAACCGGTGCTATCTCAATTTTCTAAAGATTTCACTTTTTAATACCATTTTATACTATTTTATACTCTGCAGCGTTGCAAGAAATTCCATCTCAGATACATTTTATTTCGGCGCCAGAATCGACTCTGCACAGAACTTCTAACCAGATGCTACATAAATGACGCACACAATTATTTTCTTCATCCAGTAAAATTGTTTAATTGAAATGGTACCGGTTGGCAGTTCCCAGTAGCTATGTGAAACTTTTTTTATTTTTTTTTTGTTTAACTTATTTTTGATGCCAAATGAGGGGATGAACAAGTCGTGCACCTAGTGGTAAGCGACACGCCTGTCCATATCAGTTGCAGTGCCACCCAGAGCTTTATATCGCAAAGTACTGAAGTGCACTGTCGTCCTGAGATATAAATTGACATTTCATGTGCTTGTAATTTCACTAGCACGCTCTTCAAAACCGAAACTTATGTAGTACCTAATGCTCACATTACTGCTTGGCGGCAGAATTTCCCTAGACTTACGTAAGTACTGCTACTTCCCTGGACGAACTCTTTCACAAGGAGCTCTACTGCTACTAAAATTCTGACTAAATGTTCCAAATAGGACAATAATATATTTGGTATGATATATATAATATACTACTTTATTAAATACGCATTTTTTTTCAGTTAACCAAAAACGTCAGATTTCTAAATGGGCGTAGTTAAACAAAAAGGATCCAATGCACATCCAGTCACTTTCGAGTTATGGCAGTTTAAAGTTTAAATGTGTTTCTCATACTTGTTTTATTTTCAAAACTTACTATGTCATGTAAATCCAGGGATATTTATTTATGTTTACGTGTTAGACTTTTTTTGTTGATCTAAGAGGTTAGACTTTAAGAACCGTTTGGTACATATAACTCATTTTTTGATTATTTTGTGGATTGAATCCTTTTTGATTAACTGCGTCCAATTAATTACGTTACTTTATTTTTAAGGGTTGCCACATGACACAACATCGACACAATTTAGTTATAAATGCTTTTTTTATTGTTGCCTTCACATCACGTACTACGTTAACTTGAAGTTTAAAAGAATTGCTATATTAATAATAAATAAAACAGTTTATTCAACAGAGAATTAATGATGTACTGACCGGGTGCGCGGGCGGCATGCATGTGTCGATCGCTGGCGCTCGCGGCGCATCACCGCACGCGCAGTGCCTGTGCACTATACACTCCCTGTAACAATATACATACGCATTAATAACGGAATCCACATAAGATAGTAAAATACTAACGGAGGTTTGATAACAGTAACATAGGTAACTGATTGTTTCAGTCAATAACCAGCGTTTCAATCGAAGGTTTAAAATAACATACAAATTATACTTTTAAGTACATTAATTAAACATTTTAATGAATCAAATTAATAATAAAATTTGCTAAAATGAAGAAAAAAATATTATCAAAAAATATTTGGCATTAAAAATGATAAATAATTGCTAGTTATTTGTAATTCACTAGAGCAAAGAAAAGTCTCTAACGAGTTGATTTTAGTCACGGAGAGAGAACCGTAATATATATTCCATAAAAGTTACTTTATTACACTTAGGAATTGATATGACATCCGTGTATCTGTGTTTAAAGGCCTCACACGGTCTGTTTTTTTACAGATTTCCTCGCACGGCCGATAAACAGCGACAGTCACACACCGGCCCTGCTAAGGGTGCTGGTGAAATTACAGGCACATGGGATTTGTCAACTTATGCTCAAGGTGACGGGCGAAGTGACAGTGCCCCTAAGATCTTTACGATTTAAAGCTCTGAGTGGCACTGCAACTGTTATGGATAGGCGTGTCGCTTACCATCAGGCGCACGACTTGTTCGGCCCTTCATTTGGTATTATAAAAAAATACTGATAATTAACCAATTGCAGAATGATAACCAATCGCGGCGCCCGACCCCATCTATTTTTCGCTATGCATTTTAGTCATTGCACAGCTACGGACGCGTGTGTGTTATCATGGACGAGTCTCTTCCCTTGGTGCGAACTCGTGAGAAGTGATCGATAAAATCACGCACCGGGAGAAGCCGCGTTAAGATGTATTTGTACTCATGATTATTGTTTAAATTTAGAATGTTCTTAGAACATATTTTTTTATAAAAATGGTGGCGTTGACTAATTACAAGTTGTAAAAAATTACACTTTGGTCTACTTATTGGAAAGCATGATTTTTTGATAATAATAATATTGTTTCACAATGGGCAAATTTCTATGTTTTTTTAATAAAGGCGTCTATGTAACACTTTCATTTTCAACATCACATACAACAAACCACTGGATTTTACTCTGAACGCAGACCCGGCTCTGAAATGTGTTAGACACATTCTGAAATGTGTTAGTTGTCGAAATGAAACGTATTTTTGTTTCGTCAAAATGTCAGCGCCTGTGTGGTTTTCGTTCCGTAAATATCTCACAAAAGAAACCTACTAGACTGTTTCTGGGTTTGAATTCTTTAATAAAATTGTAGAAATTGTTGTTGTTTCGGAAAATATTTGTAAGGTTTTTATTTTGAATTATTTCTTGAATTAAGTTTCTCCTTCCTTTGTTTTCCATATCACTACATCATTATAATTATTACTAACTAAGAGTCATAAGTTTTGATTACCGTCTTTATTCCCAACATATTATTAGTTTAGAATACGAGGAGAACATTTGAACAGAAAGCTAAAGATTAAAAAGATTCTGACTATCTGTCTGTGTGTTATTGTCCTATATCGTAGTAATTAATTTATAATTAAACATTCTTGTAAATTCATAAAAAAAGAACAACTTTTTGGTCAAATACAAATACTTTTTAAATACTTTTTTTTTAAGTACAACAAAACATTTCCTGTAATTTTTGAATTTCGAAGCACCCATCGACACCCAATCACCACTCAAGCGAATCACGACGCTTGAATGATGCAATGTTTTTTTTCTCTTTTTTCTTCTGTTGTAGACAGGGAACGGGACCGGCAGCCTAGTGCGCCAGTTTTATTCAATGCCGACGACGCGCAAAAACTTTTTACTATCACCATTATATGATGAACTCTGACAAATTAACAGTTGGCAATTTGCAAGCTTGTTACGAAATTGTGTTAGTAATTTTCATTACTTTTTGGGAGTAAGATTGATAAATTATTTCGATAATGACTATAATGCTATAAACGACAAAATGTATCTTAAGAGTAGAGAATTAACTTTCGACGAGTATAACTAACTTCAGGTTTTAGCCATGATAATATTATTTTAGCAAGTAATCTTTTATGTTATATCCTATGTAGGTTGCAAATGTGTTGAGAAATTTCTAGAACCATTTCTAACATCTACGCTTTTTTACGGCACTTTTACCATAGTTTACAATCAGGGATCACCGTACATTGGTGTTTTGTATACTATAAGCTCATACACATTATGTGGATAAATCTATTCATTGCAAATTCACTATGAGTTGTTGGGTTAATGTTATTCTTTTGTTTTAAAGATTTTCGTTTATATAAAGAGAGGTAAAAATTAATTTAGTTACCGTATACCGTAACAAATCTCTCCAAAAGAACAGAACTATAAAAAAATATAGTAAAATTAAGTAGGTGGTGTTATTGTAATATGAAATCTTGTGATGAAATCAAAACGTGAATCATAATAAACCAGATATGACATTTATAGAAAAAGAAACACGTTTTAACTAAAATAAACTTATCGCCTGTGAACTGGCAATCGGTACTATCTCAATTTTGGGAACTTTACAGGATGAAGAAAAGAATTGTTTGCGTCGTTTATAATGCATCTAATTTATTAAATAAAAATACGTAGTTTTTAAGTATTTTTATTACACACACACTTTCTTTTTACTTTACACGTTATGCACAATTTCAATTAGTTAAGCAAAATAAAACCTGATCTAAAAGAATTCCCTCTGCGACGAGTAAGGAAATTAGATCCGAGAACAACCAGATGGCAAAGACCAAATGAGCTTAGTGAAGATCTTTTCCTGAATTAACCCTACCAGGAACGTAATCCAGTAACCATAGAGGACATCAAAAATCTTAAAAAACACGCACCGCTCGCCGAGTTAAACCTCAAGAGCAGTTCGGCAGAATTTTATGAATAATCTTACTTATAAACGAACATTTATATGAAAAATCAAAAACTAAATCCGCTGTATCAGCCTCAAGAAGCGTATATTCAAACAACGACACGCTAAGGCTTTAAACTTAAAATTTAAGGTCGTGTTTCCATTATGTCGTGACAACAAATAGTTGTACAGTTTAAAGTATCGTGGTTTGTATATTTAAATGAAGTTGTTCACGCATAGAACAACACGCTTAACTGTTGTTCACGACTTTTTTGACGTTACGACCACAGACTGTAGTGACAACGGGAAGCTAGAACGACAGTCGTCGAACGATAAATAAATCGTCACGATAAAAACGTCCACGATACAGTCACGATAAATAGTCGTGATATGGGAACAGGCTAGATGTGACAGTCATCCAACGATAAATAAAACGTTACGACACTGTGGATTTAAACATGGAATTTAAACTTGAACATACCGACTCATCCGTAGAACAAAGATCTATGTGCAAGACTACTTGTTGTCAGGACATAGTACCTACATTTCGTTCGTTGTTCTTCGCTGCGGATGTCAGATCGACCGTTGTTTGATTTTATATTTCCGAACCGAATTCCGGTATATAAATTCTCAAAACACCTTTACATAGACCTTAGTTTAAATAACGAAATCATTCTCGTAACGTACTTATTCTCTTTTCGCTAAATAATCACATACGACTGTGTTCTTAGGATGAGTCGATACATGTCACTTAGTATATTTACAATCAAAAATCTAAAGTGTTAAAAATTTTTATTTACAAACTTTTTACTGTCAATTAAATACAACATAAATAACCACTAAGGCTCAATTTATATTGCGACGGAACGGAATGGAAGCAAATTTTTCTAACGATACTGTGCCTGCTCGAGAATGCTCGCGCATTGCAGCGGAGGATTTTTGCTCGTATCTAGTTTGAACGTTACACAAATGAACATAAAATTCATTATGCAACGTATAATATCGGTACAAAAATTGGCTTCCATTCCGTTCCGCTGCAATATAAATTGAGCCTAACTGTCGTTACCATTGTACAGGATAATTTACTAACTTCGATCTTCAAGACTGTAAAATATGACCAAACCATAACCGCTCACGTCCGTCCAATCGATTGAATAGCGTTTTTATTCCCTTTTTTCCTCATCTTCTATGTGTCTTTGAATGGCATGTTTTTTATGCTTTTCCCCCGCAACTGTATAACTCAAATAGTCGCGTAGATAACTGTACGTGACGCTCGTTAATGTTGGCGCATGCGCACATGTGCGTCTTTGTCGACAAATTGCGAATTATGGCGCTTAGGCGAAAAATTTTAACACATATCGTTCGTATTTTCTCTGATTACCCGCAGAAACCCAATGAAAGGACGACAGTAACGCAAACTAGGCAATAATCTCTGGTTGTACGGTATCACTCTGGATACGGGCCTTTTTTGTGGTTCATAAACGGTCCATTAGATGGAAGGTAGTAATACATTTAATATCGCAAATATATTGATTAACGTGAAAAGATTGTATGTCGGCTAGCCCTTCCAAAATTTCAACAGTGCCGCTTTGCAGCAAAAGCAAATTTGCTGAAAGAGTTATTTCTGGGAAGTACTGCCAACTTACCTATTTCTACCGCCAAGCAGTGATTTGAGCATTACTGCGTTCCGGTTTTGAAAGTAAGGATGTTGGTGAAATTCCAGACACATGAGACTTGTCAACTTATCGTCTCAGGTTGACAGGCGCAGTGGAGGTTTGCGATTTAAAGCTCTGAGTGGCACTGCAATTGCTTACTCGGGCGTGTCGCTTATAATAATAAGTTAAAAATCGTAGTAAAAGGTATCCCTGTATAATAAATGGATAATGCCAACCTACTAATTTTTCCAGCTACAGCAGAAAATAAGAATTTCATCATTAATCTTAATTTTCTCTTATGTCCGTCCGTAAATTGTTGAAAATCGTGACTGTTGTTACAGTTGCCAGCAACTGTCACCATGAGCACTGTCACTCGTATCATGTGTCGCCTCATGCAGATACATGCACTTCTATCAATTCTCGCTGTTGCCCTACTTAGTGGGCTGTCTTTAATCCTCCATTTTTCC